CACATGAAAAATAAAATCCATGTCACATGGTGATTTACAGCACCACATGTTGACAGTCATCGTGTTTGGCCATTTATAATGGCCTCATTTTAACATGTGCACTCTATATTCAATCAATCAATCTTTATTGCGGCCAAAGACCAGACATCAGCAAAATGTACTACATCAGCGACAAGGGGCAGAGGCGGTAGATAAAATTAAAAAATCCCCATATACTTATTTACACTAAAAATAGCACCCCTTCAGCTAAAATCTATGATCCAGAGTTTAAAATCTGTTTTGTTCACTGACCATCACTGTCCCTGCAGCCTGTCTTGTTCTCTTTGCCATAAAACAGAATTTCGCAACAGGCCTGGTGATATTCAGATCTTTGTCAGCAAGAAGGTACTTAGCATAAATTTCCTTTGAGTGGCTAGGTGGTTTCCTTAATAACGGTTGCACTCCATATTATATTGGGCTTGTGGTAGCAAAGCCTCTGGGCATGGGTTAACTGAACTTGTGTGCTGTCACAGAATGTTCACAAACATGGCAGTTGCTGAGGGAGGGCAAGGATGCTGTCGGGATGTTTGCAAAGCAGCTTCTTTGAGCAAACACGTCAAATTATGTAGGATTGAATCCTCACAAAAGCCGTTGAAAGGAATGCGTGGCTTTGCGAGGCAAGCAAGTTAAAGGCTGTGGAGCCCGGTGTGGAATGATGGTTGAATGAAGAATGTAGAAGAAGAAGAAGAAGAAGAAGAAGAAGAAGAAGAGGAGGAGAGAGGAGGAGGAGGAGGAGGAGTTTGGCTTTGATATCCCGCTTTATCACTACCCGAAGGAGTCTCAAAGCAGCTAACATTCTCCTTTCCCTTCCTCCCCCACAACAAACACTCTGTGAGGTGAGTGGGGCTGAGAGACCTCAGAGAAGTGTGACTAGCCCAAGGTCACCCAGCAGCTGCATGTGGAGGAGCGGGGACGCGAACCCGGTTCACCAGATTACGAGTCTACCACTCTTAACCACTACACCACACTGGCTCTCTATGTAGATAGAATGAAAAAGTAGTAGTAGATACAAGGATTTATTGGAAAATAAAACTCCAAGGTGGTTGTCACCAATGGAAGCGAAAGCTCTGAAAAGGCTCAATATGGAGGCCAAATGGCCGAAATATTGGGAAATTTTGGAACAAGAAGGAGACAAATTGAAATTGCAGAGTTTCGAGAAACTAAAAAATAAAGTGAGAGATTGGCTTCATTATTATCAGATAATGGAGGCATATAATTTGGATAAGAAAATTGGCTTCCAGGTGGAAAAATCAAAATTAGAAACAGAATTGTTAGAACCCAAAACTAAGAATTTGTCAAGAATGTATAACTTGCTGTTGAAATGGAATACTCAGGATGAAACGGTGAAATCTGCTATGATTAAATGGGCACAAGATGTTGGACATAATATTATGTTTGCTGACTGGGAACAGTTATGGACCACAGGTATGAAGTTTACGGCATGTAATGTCTTAAGAGAGAATATTATGAAAATGATATACAGGTGGTACATGACCCCAGTCAAGCTTGCAAAAATCTATCATTTGCCCGATAATAAATGTTGGAAATGTAAAGAAACTGAAGGTACATTCTTTCACCTTTGGTGGACGTGCCCAAGGATTAAGGCTTTCTGGGAGATGATTTATAATGAAATAAAAAGGTATTTAAATATACCTTTCTGAAGAAACCAGAGGCCTTTCTTCTGGGCATTGTCGGCCAATTGGTGCCAAAGAAGGATAGAACCTTTTGTATGTATGCCACAACAGCAGCAAGAATACTCATCGCAAAGTATTGGAAGACACAAGATCTACCCACTCTGGAAGAATGGCAGATGAAGGTGATTGACTACATGGAACTGGCGGAAATGACTGGCAGAATCCGAGACCAGAGAGAAGAGTCGGTGAAAGAAGACTGGAAGAAATTTAAAGACTATTTACAGAAATATTGTAAAATTAAGGAATCTTAGAAGGATGTTGGATAGAAACTAAGAGGTTTTTAGCTGTAATGCTTTAAGAGATATGGGGAAAAGGTTTGCAATTGGGTAAAAGCTTAATGGTAAGGATTTGCTGAACTAACAAATTGAACTGGAATACAAAAAAGGGAGGTATGAGGAGGTCCGGGGAAATAAGTGTAGGGAAGATAGGTTATGGAAAATTAATGTCTTTTTAACTGTCTTATTTGGTATGTTTTTTGTTGTTGTTTTTTTACTTTTTTGGCTATATTTTAAAAACTTTATTTTTTTCTTTCTGTATTCTGTATTCTTTGTATTTTTTGAAACTTTAATAAATATCATTAAAAAAAAAATAGAATGAAAAAGTAACCTGAAAGAAAGGTAGGTGATCTGAAGGCATCTGGAAGAAAAAAGTCCAGAGGTTGCTAAAAGGGAACTGAAGCAAGAAGGTAAATAATAATAATAATAATAATAATAATAATAATAATAATAATAAAATTTTTTATTTATATCCCTCCCTCCCCAGCCGAAGCCGGGCTCAGAGCGGCTAACATCAAATGTATAATACATGAAAAGGGGGCCTCTGCAGAAGTGTCGCAGCACATAAAGTCAGGAAGGTCTGTAGGTTGCAGGGAAGGGGTGGGGGGAAAGAGAGAAGAACTCTAGATAGGAGTTGAGGACAGACCAGGGCCACTGTCAGACCTGCCATCTTTAATTCCACAGAGCGACTCTGGGCTCAGAGGCATCAGGAGATATGAAAATGGCAGCTAAGACTGCCTGGAGTCCCAATTCAGCGGCAGCAGCACATCTGCTATTAAAAAAATGTTGTTTTTTCAGCCATTGGAGGAATTACCACTTGGATAACCAGAGGACCATGGGGGTGACTAGCCAGGGAATGACCAGGCAGGCAAGAGTAGGGTTGAAAGGTCCTTTTCCCTAAACTTTCTTCAACACTTTTTTACAGAGGTTGCAGGAGTGCTAAACAAAGCTTTTGCTGCTGAAGTTCCTATATTGTTCAGATGCAACATTGGGCTATAAACCCCTTGTTGGTGTAGAAATCTCAATACATTCATACATTTAAAAAACCCGCAAGTGATACTTGTCCCAAGAGACTTCATCCCAGTTTGAGGGAAAGTACCCCAAAGCACTGTGTTTTCAGGTATATAAATAATCTGAAAGACACATCCTGCCCTTTAACTGAGGGCAACATTCATTTCCTTCAAATTAATACAAAAGAAAGAAGGAAAGGTCAGAGATGCACATCCATAAACAGAGATGTTCCCACCCACTGTGTTATTGAGAAATCAAGCGCGACCCAGTTGGTTGACCCATGTCTGATTGTATATTAATTGTGTGCATTAATGTGTTCTGAAAATAGCATGTCACTTGTGGCTCACCTACACCCGCTGAATAATTTGCGTGAAAATTCAGGGGTGTCAGAAACAATGCTTTAGTAGGGCAGACCATAAATTTCTGCTGTTTTGCATTCTTAAAAACTTTACAATGCAGGTGGTTGTACAGATGAATCCCGAAGGGGCTAATTAAAATCATCCCCTGGACCTCCTGCTGAACATATCCTGGGACTGGAGAGCCATCAAACCCGCTGGCAGCCAAACCTTTGCTAAGAGTGCTGAAACTCAAGTCCACAGTATGAGATAATGCAACTCTGATGCACACTCTTATACAGCTAAGAACGGAGGAGGTATCTGATTCAGTTAGCATTTAAAAGCAAACTTACCCAATACACACTTTCCGAAACAATATGCAAGCTAAAACTCAGCCATCCTTTGAAATTCACACTTCTCAAAATTCTGCTGTTGCTTCTTTGGCAATCCCTCGTAGCCGAGTAAGATTGTCTCCCATGAACACAGTCTTAACAGTGAGTCCGTAAGTGACTGTGGAGGCCAGTTCTGGATCCACATGTCCTTCCACAGTGAGGACATACTGTAGGTTTCCGGGCAGGAGTTGATCATGGTGAGGGTTGAGCAATAAGGAGAAATGCAAGGGTGCCTGCCTCTTAGCACATTTCTCCCTTTTGTCCTGAGTTCGAGTATCTTCCAAGCCTATGACACCTTTGGTGAAGGCTGTTCTCCAATTGGAGCGCTCACAGGCCAGTGTTTCCCCAGTTGTCAGTGTTTATACTACATTTTTTAAGATTTGCCTTGAGAAAGTCTTTGAACTTCTTTTGTTGACCATCAGCATCACACTTTCCATTTTTAAGTTGCTTTGGAAGACGATCATCAGGCATCCGCACAACATGACCAATCCAATGAATTTGATGTTGAAGAATCATCGCTTTGACACTGGTGATCTTTGCTTTTCCATTACACTGGCATTAGTTTGCCTGACTTCCCAGGTGATCTGTAAAAAATTTCAGAGACACCATTGATGGAATCTTTTGAGGAGTTGGAGATGGCATTTATAAGTGGTCCACATTTCCAAAAATTGCAATGCAGTCCTGACTCACAGAGTTGGAAGGGACCCTGAGAATCATCTAGTCCAGGGGTCTGCAACCCGCGGCTACGGAGCCGCATGTGGCTCTTTTACACCTTTGCCGCGGCTCCGGGGCAGATACTAGCGAGGGGAGGAGGCGCATTGTGCGCCCCGACACTCCCCACTGTGGTGGGCTCTGTACTGGCTGTGACGTCACATGGGGGCGGTGCGTGCGTTAGTCACGCACCGTCCCGACGTCACCTTCCCGCCCACCCGCTACATTGTAAGGGGCATGTATGCTGGTGACTGCATTGAAAGGGGGCATGTACGCTGGTCACTGTTTTGAAGGGGAGTGAAGAACACACACCCAAAAAAGGTAACTTGTTAATTTAACGTTTATTTCTATGAGGAGGAGTAATTCTGAGGGGTCAAACAAAGAAATAATAATAAAAAGTGAGAAAAAAAGTTATTTTTATAATGACGAGTTTTGCGGCTCCCAGTTTTTTTTCTTCAGAAACGGGTCCAAGTGGCTCTTTTTGTCTTAAAGGTTGCAGACCCCTGATCTAGTCCAACCCCCTGCAATGCCAAAGTATGCAGTTGTCCCTCACGGGGGATTGAACCTGCAATCCTGGCGTTACCGGTACCACGCTCCAACCAACTAAGCTATCCATCAGTGCTGACGGATGATGGCATACAATTCACTGGAAGATGAACAGATGAATGGGTCTATCATGTTGTGGATGTAATATTAGTGCCATAAGAATCGCAGCTTTAGGCTGCGAGGGGAGTGGCAGTCTGTAAGCAAGTATAGGCCTACCACAAAATCTCTTTGAAAGGGATACATCATTGTCCAACATGGGCTGAAGACCACTGATTAAAAGTTTGAGTGGTTTTAGCTGTAGATGACAAGTGGGTGGTTTGTCATCTTCTTTTCAAGGTCCAGACTGCAGCAGATCATTCTTGGGTACACATCTAGCCTTGTCAATCTGCTTTTTCCTTTCACAGGGAAAGAACCAAGAAATGGAATCTCCTGTATTTTCTATTTTCTGTTGGTTTCCCTCCGTGGCTTCAGGAACAGCTTCTTCACAGAGTCACTTCCCTGTGTAGTATATCTCCAAGGGTAGCCAAAAGATAATACCCATTCCAGATTTGCTGCTGTGCAAAACCACTCTGCTGAGAAGCACTCAGGATAAAAATGGAATAAATCTCATCTAATCTACTAGATTATGCTCAACATGTTAAAATGAAATCTTACCCCTTCCTTCCAGCATTGCTTTATTTTCAGTTTCCTGGGTAACCGTAAAGTGAAAGGATTTTAGAGTTGCATGCTTGGTGATACAGGAAGTAATTCTATTCTGTGGCAAACAAGTCACTATGCGACTACATTTATTTTGCCAGCTGCACCTGCCAATTGAGCAATAAGGAGAAATGCAAAGTAATGGCTGCCTTTTTCATAACAACCAAGCGCAGCAGTCATAAGAGCCTCATCCTCAGTAGTATTAAAAGTTTATAGTAGGTTTACAGCTTCCGAAGGGAGCTAAAAACACATCTTCTTTGCTCAGACTTTACACTCTGATTTACTTTAAATATGAAGTAAATAGAAAGTTGCCAAGTAGGTTATTGGCCCATAATTGATATTGTGTCTATCCCTGATGTTGCTCATCGTTTGTTGTTGATTTAAACTAGGTTTTTTGTGTTTTTTAATACTTATTATTTGGATTTTATGTTTTCAACATTTTAGTGTTGTTTTTTTAGTCTGTAAACTGCTTCGGCATCCTTGAATGGGAAACAGTCTATAATCGATTAATAACAAAAACAGTAATAATGGCATTTGAAGACAGGAAGATACATTTCCTGACAACATTGCAATTATTAGTTATGAAGGTATGTGTCTCTTTTGAGAAGTTTCAAATTGTTTTTAAATGTTTTAAATATGCTTTATTTTATTTTAAGTTGCATCATGCTTTCTTGTTTGCTGCCTTGGGCTCCTTTGGGAAGAAAGGCAGGATAGATTTTTAATTAATAAATAAAGTTGCATATTAACAAAACTTCAAAGGATGTCATTTCAAAACGCAGAAGGAAGTGCGGAAGGACTTGGGTTGATTAATCTACTGATTAGGATGGCGTGTTGAAAATGAAGTCAGGGTTCCTGAACCACCAATAGTTGTGAAGAAGATAGGGTTTCACAATCCTATCCCATTTTTCACCTAGTCAGAATAGACTTCTATAGCCTATGTCGCATATAATTGTTTAATGTCCATTGAAATAGAAAATAAATATAGAATGTGTTTGTTTTGAATACTGTGAAGCATGACTAGAAATTTCCACTGAAGCTGAAGAACAGCCTAACAGGTTGATCATTAGTAGGGCTGTGTCATGGGACTGTATATCTGCTGCCTCAGTCAGAGGAAAGAGATTGTGTTACAGGCCTACAGTATGCACATGCTTGGTTGCATAAGCTTTTTGTTCTAAGCTACTGAAGAGAATGGACTTGTTCATCTCTTTTCTCCAATAAACAGCCTCAGGCTAATGGAGGCTGTATGGGGAAGAGACAGAGCTTTGATTCAAGAGGTTTGTAATCTAAGATAATTATGTTTTATGTGCTGGAACAAGTATAAGAAATTATGCAACTAAGTGAATGTAACTATGTGTTTTAAGTTGTTTTGGAGTTAAGTCCTGTAAGTAAAGCTTTGGAACCATATTTTTGGACTGGAGAATTTTTATTTCAAAGAAGAGCCAGTTTTTATTCACCCAACGGCTGCCATATGCACAGTATTAAATACTTCTATACTCTGTGCCAGCTTCTGCCTCTGCTGTGATATGTGGCACCACCACATTCTACTCTGTGCATGCAGTAGTGTACAGGATTGTACCCAGGGCTTTTTCAGCTGGAACTCACCAGAACTCAGTTCTGGAATCTCTCAGGTGAGTTCTAAAAGAATGAGGGAGGTGATCATGGTGAGTTCCAGAACCTCTTTTTCTAGAAAAAAAACATAGCATTGATGTCACCGTAAAACTATTCTTAAACTGGGAATTGTCCTACATTTCAACTACTTAGATAATATTAATGAATGCAAGAAACTGGACCAATTCAATAAGTTTTAAAACATCAGGCATTTGCTTCTTAATGAATTGATTAAATTTAAATTAACTTACAGGCCACCCAACCGTCAATGTGCCTTTCTGAGATGAAGGAAGTATGGAATGCTGTGTAATTTAATTAACACAAGCTACTTATACTTCAATAAAAATTATTTTAAACATTTTAAAAATAAGCACAAGCTACCGTTAAAGGAAGGCAAGGCCACCTTTAATATTTTAACATTCGTTTCTTACTATACTTACAAACCAGACCCAAATGCACTTCCCAAAAAAGAGAGGGGAGAAAAGAAAAAAGTGCTCTTAACTCACATCCCCACTGTATATTTCAGGGATGGATAGACCATTTTAAAGTCAATGGTGTCTCTGAAAATTTTTACGGATCACTTGGGAAGTCAGGTGAACTAATGTCAGTGTACTGGAAGTAGCAAAGATCACCAGTGTCAAAGCAATGATTCTTCCACATCAACTTCGTTGGATTGGTCATGTTGTGCGGATGCCTGATGATCGTCTTCCAAAGCAACTACTCTATTCCAAACTTAAAAATGGAAAGCGTAATGCTGGTGGTCAACAAAAGAGGTTTAAAGCCTCTCTCAAGGTTGATCTAAACAATGTAGTATAAACACCGACAACTGGGAAACACTGGACTGCAAGTGCTCCAATTGGAGAACAGCCTTCACCAAAGGTGTCATGGGTTTTGAAGATGCTCAAAATCAGGACGAAAGGGAGAAACGTGCTAAGAGGAAGGCACGCTTGGCAAATCCACACCATGATGAACTCCCGCCTTATGTCCCCACTGTGGAAGGATGTGTGGATCCAGAATTGGCCTCCACAGTCACTTACGGACTCACTGTTAAGACCGTGTTTATGGAAGGCAATCTTACTCGGCTACGAGGGATTGCCAAAGAAGAAGACACCATTTTAAAATGGTATGCTCCTGAGGCGGCAATTTACATACTTCTTCAGGTATCGTCCTACTGCCTAAGTGACTTGTGGATTGCAGGTTTACAAAGCAAGCTCTGTTTGTGTGTTTGTGTGTGTGTGTATTCGCCTTCACTATTATAAAAGAGACAGTATGCTCTTTTTGCTAACTCACCGTTACTGAACCTAAATGTGTTCTATAAAAGTAATTATTCAGTCAGTTCTTCCATCCCCACACCTAAATGTGTTTTGCACTGAGCTGTCTCTTGCTTTCTCCCTTCCCCCTCCCCTCTCAAGAGCTGCATCTTCAGAGTTTAATTAACCAAGTCGGGAAAATTCATTTCACCCTGAACGCACAGTACCAAAACCACATTAAAGTCAGGAGTCATAGAGAAATTGTCATTTTAAAAGATTAAATATTCTGCAACTACCTCTGTTACATTGGTGCTTCCCCCCTCCTCCTTGATTCAGATGAAATGTAAATATCTTTATGTGATCAAAGGGAGCGATTCTATCTTTTTTTATGTCTTCCTTTGACTGGAACAAAAAACACTGAGATCTGAGAATGCTTTATACTTGGTAGTGCTGTTTTCAGAACATTGATTGCTGTGTGTGTCAGCTTTCACTTTTCTGAAGTGAGATACAAAGGTTTTCCCCTCCTCAGTGGATGGCTACTTACTTCGATATTAACATACATAGATAATCTCATTAATGCTTTAAAAAAGAATTGGTTCCATAATCATCACTGTACAAACTAAAGATGTCTATTTTTAGTGGAACATTGTCAGTTGACAATTACATGGTTTTCATTTAATTGAAGCCAATCTGTAGAAACAGATTTAGGAAGCCATTTTAAAGCTGGGGAGAAGGAGGACCAAAGTCAATTTTGTCCCCTGTGTTCAGTGCCCAGCCAGACTCTTGCCCGCAGGGTGAAAGTGAAGGCAGAAAAGTGGTCTTGTATTCCTTTATTTGTGGTTTGGTTTAAACTATCCACTCCATTAGGAAAAATATACAGGAACAAACTACAGCAGCTCTGGTTAGCATTGTTAGGGGTTATACAGGGGGACTAAGGAGAAGGCAGACATTGAGTCCTTGGTAAGGCAAGGACACCAGACATTTCAGAAGTGGTGAGGAAGGGGGAATCTGACAATACATCTTCTCTGAGATTAGAACAATCTCTTCACCCTCAGAGAGAGAGATCCAGAGCTTCCTGTGGCCCCGTGGGCCATGAAATTTTTGGTTTAACTATCTTTTCACATGGTTCCCCACAAGTTGAAGGCCACAATTCAGAGGAACAACTTACACACGGCCAATAATTCTTGTGCCTCCTCCAGGAGGTAAAGGAAAAGACTAGGTTGCCTTGTGCCAATCTTATCTTTGGAGTATGGCTGCTCTGTCTGATTAGTCAATTAAAACTTTTCTCGCGCTATCATCCAATATGTATAAGAGATAAACAAGAAAGCATTAAAGATAGCCTTCCATTCTAATAATAGGTGGTTGATTTCATACCCTCCAACACTCCTCAGATGAAAATAAGGACATTTCTCACCTCTCCTCCTACTGACCTTCCTAGACATTTCCACCACCATGACACTAATGGACCACAGCATGCAAACCCTCCACCATTCTGAGAAAACCCCTTAATCTCG